GATGGATGAATGGATGGATGGATGGATGGGTGGATGGATGGATAGATGGATAGGTAAGTGGATGAATGGATGGATGGATGGATGGATGGATGAATGGATGGATGGATGGGTGTATGGATGGATAGATGGATGAGTGGATGAATGGATTGATGGATGGGTGGGTGGATGGATGAGTGGATGGAAGGATGGATGAGTGGATGGATGGATGGATGGATGGATGGATGGGTGGATGGATGGATGAGTGGATGGATGGATGAGTGGATGGATAGATGGATAGGTAAATGGATGGATGGATGGATGGATGGGTGGATGGGTGGATGAATGGGTGGGTGGGTGGATGGATGGTAGATGGAGAATAGATGAGTGGGAATGTGACACAAGTTTCTTCTCAGAGGTTCAAAAGAGCCAGGACACCACACAGAGTGCTCAGGGCTTTGGGCTCCCTGGGGCAAAGAGTTAGAAGAGAAGACAGTTGGGGAAACCCTGTAAGCACCCGTGGCCCCTGCACTCCCACATCGTCCACGGACATGTACCCAGTTCTCTCCTGTGGGAGCAGTGCCCATCCTGTCGCTCACACAGTGTCCCTGTTCCATCAGGCTGCCGGCCAACACTGGACCAGACCCTGGCAAACAGGATCTGGCCGCCAGATGTCAGCCACGACTAATGAGGCCAGCCTGCTGGTCACTAATTGGCTGAGGCTCTGGGCATCAGGGGCAGATGGAACCGGGGATGATGGGACAGCCAGGGCGGCCCCCAGCCCGGGACTTGTGTCGCCCAGTCGCGCTGCACCAGGGCAGTAGGGAGCAGGGGCGCTCGGCCGATCCGGGGCTGCCCGCTCCTGTCTAAATGCCTGGCAGCTTTCCAAGGCTGCCCAGGGGCTGCGCACCTCCCCCCACGGGCCGGGGCTCCTCCACGGGTGTGGGAGGCGGGGGTCGTGCAGGGGCTGGCGCGGGCTGCCGTTGGGCATGACTGCTGGACCAGAAATAAGAGCCAGCCTTCCCGTGTACTACGGAAACGAGTGCCCTCCCAGACGATCACGGTGGCGAGCCTTGCCCTGTGGAGGGGGACGGAGTTACAGCCGGTTCGCCCATAAACTTGTTCGAGCGATTTACGAGGCATGGCCGGCTGGGGTGGGGGCAGGGCAGCCTCAGAGGCCGGCTTCTCACCGGAGTCTGAAGGGCGGTAACGTCCTTGCGTTAATAGCAAATGCAACCTTCGCGGCAAATGCCGAGCTGCAGGGAGCATGGCCTCCGCCGGAGTGGCAAGGACGCCTGTGGACTCCGACGTGGACACCTGCACAGGATGCGTGCTGCCCCCCTCCCCAGATGCACACCCCCGGGGCTGGGAGGGGTGGGGGCGGTTCCGCGAGGGACCGCAGACACGGCTGCGAGGAGGCAGGACTGGGGGGGGGGGGGAGAGGTTCCCAGGCACCTGAGCCCCACGGGGTGGAATCTCTGCCCCCGGCTGGGAGCTTGAAACCAACACAACATCACGTGGGCTGTGGCTCCTAAACCCACTCGGTTTCCTCAGCGGCCGCGTGGTACCGCCCCCCAGCGGATGTCCCACTTCCTGGTGGTGGGTCTCCTCTCCGTGAGCCAGACTGGACGCTGATGGTGGGGGCAGAGGCTTCCCCGAGCCCGGGGCCAGGCTTCGAAGGCACAGGCACACGTGACAAGCGGTGGGGAAGGTGCGTTCCAGGCGGGGGGCGGGTGTTTGTCCCAAGCGGGCGGAGAAGAGTGAGGTGAGGACCTCTTTCTGGGGTTGCTCTGCCGGGCGTGCGGCGACCCAGCGGCCACGGCTCGGCAGGGAGACTGGAAACATTTGGAGAAGGGGTCCTGGAAACACTCGGATGGCTTTGCTAGAAACCACTGTCCTGACGGCTGGGCCCCCTTTCCCAGCTCTGTCCCCGGGGGTCTGAGCTTGTCCGGGGCTGGCAGGTGTGGTTTCTGTGTGCTCGTGTGGCCTGCGCCCGGGTCAGAGGCAGCTGGCCTCTGGGACGCTGTTATTGTGCTGTTACGACAACGGGGTGCCCAGTGGCCACAGGACAGTCCCACACCCCCTGGCTGGTCTAAGCTGAACCTCTGCCTTGGTCTTCTTCTCCTTCTCTGTCCCTCCTGCAAATGCCCCCCAGCCCCCGCCAGCCCCGGCCCCCGCCCCCCGGGACAACCGTGTCACCCGTGTGCCTCGACCCGGCGTGTGAAACTGACATCTGATGTTACATCACCTCCCACGTGGGCCGCTTTGGGGCCCAATTTAGAAACCTCGAGAACACATTCCTCCTGATTCTGCCTGGAGTGTTTGGCGACAAGGAGAAAATTCTAGCAAAGCCTGAGACCCGGGCACACAGGCCTTTTGTGGTGTAAGCAGAGGCTGGAACCCCCCAGACCCAGCCTTCCGCTGACAGTCCCCACGCCCGCAGCAGCCTGCCGGGGACACATCCTTCCCTAAGTGCTGGAGCCTCCAGATGGTGGGAGCCCCCGCAGGGGCAGTTGATGACGGTTTGGGGCTGTGCAGACCCCGCCCGGGGTCATCCCGAGGAACCAACCCCATTGCCCTTGTGACTCAGTTTCTACCTGAGGTGTCCTTTGGGGAAAATGTCCAGCAATGCCACCTTTATATCGATTCTCACCCAGGACTTAGCCCCGAGGGTGCCCCCAAAGTCCTACGTCTGTCACTTGTCTACACGACACGTATACACCACACAGCTACACCACGTGTCTACACTACAAAATAACACATGACTACTTTTGCTGGTGGGTTTAGAGGGGTTGGCCGGACACACAGGACCACCGGCAGGAGGAGGCCAGGAGGTCTAGTGGGGAGGGGTCCTCTGGGAGGGCTCTCTGGACGGGGGCGGAGCTGGACCCCCCGAAGCTGATTTGGGATGTGCGGGGAGGGGAGGGACCATCGGGGACTCACACGTCCCCCACGCCCCCCTCCACCCTCCAGGGCTCAGTGCTGTTGGCCCTGGCTCTCTGGGAGGCTGCAGCGGGTGCCCCTTGGCCTGGCCCCTCGGGCAGAGCAGGACTGGGGCTACAGCTCACAGCCTTGCCACCGTTCAGCCTCCCTGCCGGCCTCAGATTTGCTGACCTGGTCATCTCTGAACGCGCTTCAGGGGGCCGGCTGTGTGATGGTCCGTAGACACAGGTGTCCCCGACTCCAGAGACCTCAGATCCCGTCTTCAGAGGTCGTGTCCCAACCCTACTGCTACGGCTATGCATGCCTAGAGAGACAGCCAGCAGGCCCAGACAGCTTTGCTTAGCATCTCTTCTGTGGGATAGAGAGCCAGGGCCACGGGCTAAAGGGAAGAGAAATCCCTGAGGCCTTCCTGGAGGAGTCTGCATGTTCTGAGTACCTGCTGTGATGGGTTCTGGGCACTGTCCCTCCAACCTGGACCCGTGCAAAGGGAAATGTGTTTTTGCCCGCCCCCCCCATAACGGCACCCCGATGGGCCAGAGGCACCGGTCCCCTGGGTGGCCCCAGGATGGGCTGCTTTGCTCGGTTCCAAGGCCAGGCCTTGGCGCACGGGCCTATCAATACCTCCTGTGGGTCTGGCTTATCCCGCGACTGTTGGAATCTCACCAGGAAGGGAGCGCTGGGGGGCTCCGAACCCCCCGCCCCTGAAGGTCCCGTGCCACTGGCTGAGGACAATTGTTGCCTTGGCTGGATTGTTACATGTGGGACCGTCACCCCTGAAGAGGCCACGGCCCCCGGACCGTCTGAGAGCAGGGCAGACCCGTGGGGAGGATGGGGGGCTTTTGGGCCCGGGCCGCCTGCTAGTGCCTCCTGGGAGTCGTGGAATCCCGTGCCCTTAAAGCTTCCAGGGGGCCTCTTGTGTCACAAAGTAGCTCGAGAGAGTTCTGTCTTTATCTCGGCGAGGCGCGGAAAAGGCTACTGCAGACATGTTTAATCCACACGTGTTAGATTCTCCGGCCGTGATTTTCGACAATGGCTCCGGCCTCTGCAAGGCAGGCCTGTCTGGGGAGATTGGCCCCCGCCACGTCATCAGCTCCGTCGTGGGGCACCCCAAGTTCAAGACCCCTTCGGCAGGACCCAACCAGAAGAAGGACTTTGTGGGGGAAGAGGCTTTGCACAAGCGTGAGGTCCTGCACCTGTGTCACCCCATCGAGCGGGGCCTGGTCACCAGCTGGGAGGACGTGGAGACCCTCTGCAGGCATCTGTTTGAGTGGGAGCTGGGGGTGAAGGCCAGCGACCGGCCCGTGCTCATGACCGAGCCCTCGCTGAACCCCAGGGAGGCCCGGGAGAAGATGGCCGAGCTGATGTTCGAGAAGTTCAACGTGCCCGCCTTCTACCTGTCGGACCAGGCGGTGCTGGCCCTCTACGCCTCAGCCTGCATCACGGGCCTGGTGGTGGACAGCGGGGACGGGGTCACGTGCACCGTCCCCATCTTCGAGGGGTACTCCTTGCCCCACGCGGTCACCAAGCTCTACGTGGCGGGCAGGGACATCACAGAGCACCTCACCCGGCTGCTGCTGGCTGGCGGGCGGACCTTCCCGTGCGCGCTGGACAAAGTCCTCGTGGACGACATCAAGGAGAAGCTGTGTTATGTGGCTCCGGAGCCAGAGAAGGAGCTCTCCCGGAGGCCGGAGGAGATCCTGAGGGAGTACAAGTTGCCGGACGGGAACATCATGCAAATCGGGGACCAGCTGTACCAGGCGCCCGAGGCCCTGTTCGCACCCGACCAGCTGGGCATCCAAAACCCGGGCCTCTCGAAAATGGTCTCCTGCAGCATCACCAAGTGTGACGCCGACATCCAGAAGAGCCTCTTTGGGGAGATCGTTCTGTCGGGGGGCACCACCCTGTTCCAGGGCCTCGACGACCGTCTCCTCAAGGAGCTAGAGCAGCTGGCTTCCAAAGGGACCCCCATCAAGATCACGGCCCCCCCCGACAGGTGGTTCTCCACGTGGATTGGGGCCTCCATCGTCACCTCCCTGAGCAGCTTCAAGCAGATGTGGGTCACCTCCGCGGATTTCAAGGAGTTTGGGACATCCGTGGTCCAAAGAAGGTGCTTCTGAGGGGCCGTGGGCAGGGGTGGGTGCGAAGTCTCCCGTCGGCATCAGCAGGACGTTCAATAAAAGACCGAACGGTGCAGCTTTTGGACACATCGGGCCGTTTATTCTAGGTGGCACCAGAGTAATTTGCGACCCTGGTGGCGAATCTCTTAAGTGGTTCCCCCCCCCCCCCCCGAGAAAGCCTTGGGTTACGTCTGCAGAGTTTGCACCAAAGGCAGGGGCCCAGGCTTCATGCTGGAGTTTGATTCAGCAGGGCCCTGGGATCTGCATTTCAGATGGTCTGAGATGGTCAGCCCTGGTGGGGGACAGGGACAATCATGAGCGCTGCCCTGCTCTGGGGGCCAGCAGATGCTTACCTGGTGCGTCCTCAGCAAAGTATGGCTTTCGTTGCTTGTACGAGGCCGGGCAGCGGGAGCAGAATGGAGCCTTTGTCCTGGGCGGACGGTGTGGGGCAGCAGCAGAAACTGCTGTCTGTTTAGGACCCTCTAGGGCCCCTGCTCCGAGGGGGCATGGAAGCATCGACACCCCTACTTGATTGTCGTGATGTGTCTGTTTGTTTTTACCTCCAAGGATGTCGATGGCGTTGTTTGGGAGTAAAATACCGGCCGCAAAGTGAACAGCCGTCGATAAAGTAATGGTTGGATAAGTTATGCACAAAGGGAACTTTTCCTCATTGAGTTGGCAGAATTCTCCCAAAATAATATTGGGAGAGGAACAAAATACAGAAATGTCTTTATAAAATGATTTTTTTTTTCCTGGCGAAGAAAACAACGGCACTTCCCCACGCCTATCTGTGCATGTTTTGTACCAGTGAACATGTGGGGATTTTTTTATAGGGTAATAAGCATGTGGAGCAAAGAACGGAAGGGTAGATGCCACTGGCTGGTGCAGGAAGGAGGGGACGAGGCAGAATGCAGGGGGAAGGGAAGAGGGCAAGAGGGAGAAAAAAGTCTTAAAGACAGGACTACGTGAAATCTTAGCCTGCATGAAATACACCCACTTTTCTACACGTGTGTGTATTTCATGTCTGCATCGTCCATAATCTATTCCTATACTTTGGCTGTCAAGCTACTTATGTCATATTTAGAGTGAGCCCACAGTGTCTGTGAAGGTAGCAGGTACCTGGGTCCCTTGTCGAGGCCGTGATACCGATCTCTGCCTTTTAGATGGTGTGTTTGGGTTGTTTACATTTAAAGCAGTATGTTCTATCTTAACTCTGCCTCCTTATTATTTGGTTTCCTGTTCTTCCTCTCTCCCCTTCCTGTGGGTGGTTGAACTTTTTTTTTTTAATCCCGTCTTGAGGTATTGACAGGGATTTTCAGCATATGGAGTTGTATTGATTTTTTTGGTGATTGCCCCTGGTGCACATCACAGTCCACTTGGAGTGATGTTTTAGCTCCTGGAGTGAAATGCGGAAAACATACTTCTGTTGAGGTCCCTTCACCCTCCCAAATATTAAGATAGAATTGTCCTGTTTCTTCCACACATGTTGAGAACAACCTTAAAAGGTATTCGATTTTTCCTTCCACCATCAAACGATTTAAGAAACTCATTAGAATACCCCATAATTTGGGGCGCCTGGGTGGCTCAGTCAGTTGAGCATCCAGGTCTTGATTTTGGCTCAGGTCACGATCTCATGGTCGTGAGATCAAGCCCCGCACGAGGCTCTGCACTGGGTGTGGAACCTGCTCGTGATTCTCTCTCTCCCTCTCTCTCTGCCCCTCCCCTTCTTGTGCTGTCTTTCTCTGCTCAAAATAAAACAAAAAAATAAGCATTAAAAAAAAAAGACTAACGTGTCATACGGTTACCCTTATTCCACCCATGTTCTTTGGTGCTTCTGAGGTTCCAAGGCCCCTTTCTGTTTAAAAGAACCTCCCTTAGTCTTTCCTTAGGGGTAGTTTTCTAGTGGCGAGTTCTCTTAGCTTTCTGTCATCAGAGGATGCCTTTCTTTCTCCTTCGCCCCTGAAGGATATTTTCTGTGGACATAGAATCTGCAGGTAACCGTTCCCTTTCAGCACCTGAACGATGTGTGGGCCCCTTCTCCATGGCGCCAGGGCTGCAGATCAGAGACCCTCAGTTATTTGCTGCCCTCGTACAGGTAACGTGCTGTTTCTCGCTCGCTGCTCTCGAGAGCTTTTCCTTGTCTGTAGTTCCCAGAAGCTTAATGATGGTGTGTCTGGGCGTGGATTTCTTTGGGTTCATCCTTTGGGATCTACGCCGCCTCTTGAATCTGTAGATGCATGCCCTTTGCCAAATTCGGGAAGTTTTGTCCACTCTTCTCGCTCCTCCCACGATGTTGTATCGTCCCCTGGACTCCTGACGGTCTGTTCATCTCTTTTGGCCTCTTTTCTTGGTGGTTCAGTTTGGATAAATCCCACTTGCCTGTCCTGAAATTCACCAGTTCTGTCCCCTCCCATGCCCCACACCGGCCCATTTGTAAATTCTAGGGATATTTTTCAGTTCTATAATTTGTCCTTCTTTTGTAAATTCTAATTCTTTGCTGAGAGTTGCTGCTTTTGCATTTGTTGCAAGGAAATTCACAATTGCTTGCTGAAACATTTTTGTGATGGCTGCTTTAAAACTCTGCCAGACAATTCCAGCCTCGGATTCAGCTCAATCTGCTGCGACAATCGTGCCTGTTCCTCGCCCTTTCTCATTCAGCCTATGATTTTCTCGGGTCTTGGTATGATGAGTGATTTTCTATTATACCCTGGAAGTTTTGAAAGTCCTGAGACTCTGGATACTATCTAATCTTTTTTGTAGTAGACAGTCCCCCCTTGGGGTGTAGCACGAGGGCTGGGTGGAGTTTTCTGAGGATCCCCACGGCCAACGCCCCAGAAACACGGGCACTGACTCACACGGCCTGCTGCGGACGGGGGTGGGGTCGTGGACGTTCAGCTCCCTCCTCGGTCCCACTGAGGCCTCGGGAGGAAGTAAGAACCGACTAACTCTGCCTGCCTCACTGCCTCTGAGTGGGGGTGAACGCTCAGTTCCCCACTGAGTCCCACGGACACCAGGGAAGGGGGAGGCAGAGAGTCAGCTAGACTTCGTCCACCATTTCCTCCAACCATCTTGTTAATGCCGGGTGGGGCCGGGGACTCAGCTCACGCATGGGGCTCCCGAGGAGTGTGTTTATCTCTTTCCATCATACCTAAAGGTCACTAAAGGAACTTAGAGAGGTCCACTGGTCCTTACTCTCAATACCCTCCCCGTCAGGGTCACCGCTTTCCAAGTGAGGATGTCAAGCTCAGGAGCCGTGACTTTCCAAAACCACGTAATAAGTTGAGAACCGCTCTCAGCCCAGCTTCTAGGGCTCTTTCCTCCATTGTATACTCCTTCGCACTCTGCTCTGCCCGAGACTGTCCTCCTGTTACCCAGCCACACCACAAAGAGTGACTAAAACAAAGCCCCCTTTTATTCTATTCAATATACTTTGCTTTCGGGGCGCCTGGGGGGCTCAGTCGGCGAAGCGTCTGACTTCGGCTCGGGTCACGATCTCGCAACTCATGGGTTCGAGCCCCACATTGGGCTCTGGGCTGATGGAGGTGATGGTGGTGATATTGGCGATGATGGTGATGGTGGTGGTGATGGTGATGGTGATGATGATGGTGATGGTGATGATGATGATGGTGATGGAGGTGATGGTGGTGATATTGGCGATGATGATGATGATGGTGATATTGGCGATGTTGATGGTGATGGAGGTGATGGTGGTG